TTGTAAATATTTTCAGACATCTCCTCTGTTGTGGACTGGCATGGCGAGACAGCAAAAATTGTTTGTTGTGTTCTGTATGCTGAATTTGGTTGTCTTGTGGCTTTCTCTCAGGTAGGAACCGACTTTTTGTGTGGCTTTTTATCAGGTAGGAACTGATTTTTGTTGCTGTTTGTAAGGTAGGAACTGGTTTTTGTGTGGCTTTTTCTCAAGAAAAAATGATTTTTGTGTGTGTAAAATAAATAGCATACTTTTAAAACACAATTAGCTCTAATATACAGTACTTCGATGAATTTTTAAAAAACCAACTTTGCATACGTAGGGATAGTGTGGTCAGCACTATCCTCGGCCGCATGAGTTTCCTTAACGTGAGTCAGGTACTCTTCAAATCTGGGCTGACTGAACGATAAAACGTCGTTATATATACACTATAGAAACACTAAAATATCGTTTATAGCTGATACTTCAAATATAAAAACAATTTGTTTTTACTTTCTCGAAGTATAGAGAAAGTCTTGTATTCGTGCAAAAAAAATAAAAATCTAGATGAGTCGGAGAAACATAGTTTTGGAATCGTGTCCGTATGTCTCTGTGTGTATGTGTAAGTGTGTCTGTGTGTCTGTGTGTCTGTAAACACGATAACTTGAGTACCATTACAGCTAGGTTGATGAAATTTCGTATATGATTATTATATCAAAATCGTAGATCCGTATCAACTTTGAGCGATTTCCAATAACCAGAAGTGGAACTTTTTCTACTTTGAATTTTTCAAAAGCCTATAGATTGAATACTATTTTAGATAGATAAAGGAAATTTCACATCTAAGTAAACAATTTAATTATCTGAATTCTGTCGAATTTCGAGTAATTTCCGTTGACCGGAAGTAGTAATGTTTGCTATTTCCGATTTCTCAAAAAAAAAACACATGTGAATTTATAAAGTACTAATAATATTGCGCACTATTATGCACATTTTATTTGGCGTTCACTTGGTGTGCGATTCTTTTTACTTTCACGTGTATATGAAGTATAAAGAAAGTCTCGTAATCGTGCAAACAAAATAAACCGGGAGTGATCTCCCCTAAACTTTCTCGAATATTCTTCTATGAAACAATAGGGGATGGCAACTCGGGATATAGACATGATTTTTAATCCATTTTAAATACTTAAACTTTTTAAAATAGAATGAAATCTTGTAGAAAAAAAAACGGGAGCGATCTCCCCTAAACTTTCTCGAATATTCTTTTATAAAAAAAAACAGGGGATGGGAACTCGGGATATACACATGAATTTTACTCCATTTTAAATACTTAAACTTTTTAAAATAGAATAAAATCTCGTAGAAAAAAGAATTGTACTCCTGTAAACGCCAAATAAAACGTGCATAATAGTGCGGAATATTATTAGTAATTTATAAAGTAACATTCATTTTTTGAGAAATCGGAAATAGCGTAGATTAGTAATTTAAATCAACGGAAATTACTCAAAATTTGACAGAAGGTAGTGAATTAGATCTTGTGAAATTTCATTTATCTATCTTAAATAGTACTCAAGTTATAGGCTTTTAAAAAATTCAAAGTAGAAAAAGTACCACTTCCGGTTATCGGAAATCACTCAAAACTTGATCAGGATCTACGATTTTGATAAAATACTTATATATGAAAAATTTCATCAACCTAACTAAAACGATACTTAAGTTATCGTGTTTACACACAGACACACACACACACACACACAGACATACGGACAGAATTGCAAAGTCCAGTTTTTACGACTCGATAACGCATAAAACGCCAAAATGTTTATATATTTGTATTTATAATTTTTGCTTGTTAAAATAAGTCCTCTATACTCCGGATGTGATGAAGGACTGAGGAGTAAAACGGTGAAAACTGTCAAAATTTCATGTTATTTTTGTGCACGATTACAATAATTTCTCTATACTTCGTATATGCGAGAAAGTAAAAAAACTGCACACCAAGTGAACGCCTATAATACTTATATATGACATTTCATCAACCTAGCTCTAACGGTACTCAAGTTATCGTGTTTACAGACACACAGACTGACACACAGACACACATACACACACAGAGACATACGGACAATATTGCAAAACTATGTCTTTTCAACTCAGGGAGGTGCAAAACGTCGAGATTTGAAAAAATCTAGATTTTGTTTTTGCACGATTACAAGACTTTCTCTATACTTCGTATATAAGAATATTCGAGAAAGTTTAGTAAAAATCACTCCCGATTTATTTAATATCAACAAAGAAAATAACAAATACTAGCATGATTTAGACACACTATAGATCTAGTGACTATAGTTAATTATACATTTTATTACTTACTAAAATATATCAGTTAATTTTTTTTACTAATTTGTGACACATCAATATAAAAAAAAAAAAAACAACATATAGACTGAGTTTTATTAAGATCGAGCTATACCTGCTACAAAGGTAATTCCCTAAAAAACCCATATAAATGGGTTTTATCGATAGAGCCCTAAGGGACTGAGTGGCCTAACTTAGACTGCCAACCCGTAAGTCTCGAGTTCGAATCCTGGTTCAAGTCAGTAGACCGTCCCTGAGTCCACCCACCTCTGATGGGTAAGTAAAAGAAAAGTAAAGGCAGCTGGGCATAGTGCTGACCACACTATCCCTTCATATGATGGGGTCACAGAAACAGGTAAAATCTGCTTCCCATGTTGAAGGGGGAACTTTACTTACTTGCTCGAGAGAACCCTATACATTTCAATTAAAGTGAAAATATAAAACATATCGATAGAGCGCCATACATACATTTATATCATACCTACCACGCAAAACATGCACTTGCTTTATAGATAGAACACTGTACATACATATATTTTACACCTACCACATACAACATACGAGTTTTATCGAAAAATCGCTCTATCCTACACACAGGTATCTCAACCTGCCCCAACCTACTTTTATTGACCAGATTTTTAAGGTGAAGAACAGAAGTAAAGAGCTTCTACAGTTTGAACTGAACACATCAGCAGGCATACATCCATTACTTCCACAATCTGGTAAAATATTGATTTATTATAAGCTTTGATTTATGTTACGTCTGTCTGTTCGCTTGTCGAATCTTTTATCTGTCCACTTAAAAAGCATTATGCAGGATTTAAGCTGACGGTTATAAGGTTTGCAACCTAGGGTAGGGTAGAACATTGGAGGGGAGGGGGGGGGGGTGAATAATAGGGGAGGGAGGAGATATGAGTGACTTACATTTTAATTGAATTACTTGGTTAATCATTTAAGAGGCTTTTAAAACTAAAAAGTAGGAAATAAATTATAGATTACTATTTAAATAACTATAAAGAAAAGTGTGGGTCTCTTCCTAAACATTAGTAAAGGTATCCAATGGATACTTAAGTGACCCACACTTTTCTTTATAGTTATTTGAATAGTAGTGTATAATTTATTTTCTACTTTTTAGTTCATTAATACGTAAAAGCTTGTTATTAAAACGTTTTTGTAAGCTTTAATTTTAACTCACTTCTTCTGTCGACAATCGTCAGTCTGTCTGTCTAGATCGAAATGCCCGAGCGAAATTGCAGGCACTTCTAACTATCAGATAAAGTTCGTAGCTGGTACGCGGGTCAAGACATGAAAACAATGCATTTCAATTTCACTTAATTGGTTGCCTAATAAATTTTTAATGAATTAATTCAAATTTTGACCAGATTAGTAGGCAGTCTTATCCACACGCGTCATCACGGCAAAAACGGGTCATCACGTTCAATAGCTGCGCAATGGTTTTTAGTCATGGAACTCCATTGTAAATAAAACCATGTAAAGTACTGAAAAAAAAATCATAAACAAACGTTTTAATAACAAGCTTTTATGTAATAACTAGACTTACCCGTCATACCTTTGATGACTGTGGGTTTCGGGGGTCATCCATAAATGACATCACGTCGGTGACTTATCATCACAAAATAACCAGACCCCACATTCAAAAAGACGATTTTTATGTTTAAAAAACACCGATTTCGGCTGAGCATGGGTCTGACCACACTATCCCTTCATATACTGACGTCACAGGTGAGCTTTTAAAAGTTCTATTAATTTAAATGACACCGACTTCAAAATTTAGCCTTCATTCTCCAAAGCAAATTTTAAAATGCTTTTCTGGCATATCTAGCCTTGGCCACCTAGGGTAAGCCGGGGTAATTCCACACACGGGGTAATTCCACACACTATATACTGAATACTCTCTATTTTAAATGGGAGTAAAGTTTAATTAAAAGTTACTACTCCCTGTTTTTAAGAGGTCATTTCTTGTACTTTCTGATACTGTTAGAGAAGCGTTCATCTACAATCAGAGCAAGAATTTTAATTTTATCGGCATCTACTTTCAAACATCCTTACGAAAGTACAACCTCTGCACTTTTTAAAAAATAGTTTATTTTGTCTTAATTTTAATTGTTGTCAATTATTTATTGATTTTATGAAAGCTTAATCGTTTTTTGTTAATAGTAACAGTTAATGATGCTAGATTCAGCCTTTAATTTAGAACAGGAAAGCATATTTTTTTCAATAGTAGGTGTGGGGCAATTCCACACACATGGTGTGGGGCAATTCCATACACTATAGTTTGGAATGTCCCATGTTGCTTTTTATACTCTTTAGAGGTTTTAACTATTATTTTAAATCATTTAAACTGGTTGTGGCTAATTCTGTAATTCACAACTCATGATTTAATCTTAAAAAATACTTAAATAGTACTAGAACTAGTACTACTTATTCTTAAAAAGACTCTGCTATTAAAGTTAAGTAAAATTGCTGCAGACTTTTTTTATTTCTTTATCTATTATTATTTTTACTGTACCTTTATTATTTATTATAATTTATGCAATATTTAGAGCTAAACATCCCCAGACACAAATTAGTAATTAGACTTTCTATCATTTAATCTTGTTTTTATTTCAGAATGGTCCACAATTATAAACGAATAACTTCGACCTATGACAGATGAGAGCAGAATTCAGGAGGAAGAAATTGGGGCTTTCTCTTCATCCAGTGATGAAGAGTGGCTACCCCCATGCAAAATCGTTTCCAAGGGAAAAATGTTTTTTACAGATTTTTAAATACATGAATTTTAAAATTTTCATAATGTTTAATGGAATTGCCCCACTTGCCATGTTTTTGCAATAAAAGTGAAATATTTAAAAAGAGTATTTTATTTTGTGAATTATCCCTATATTTGTTTGCCATCATATAAGTAATGCATGTCTAATTATACCCTCAATATTATATTGTAGTAGTGTTAATTTTAGATTTTTTACAAATTGTTTAGGAAAGTAGTGTATGGAATTACCCCGGGTTACCCTATAGCATATTTTTATAACGTGAAAACCCGCCATTTTGCTCGTGGTAAACATGGCCTAAAAATGGTCGGAAGTCATGCACCCGGTCCGGACGCCATTGTTGTTAGCAACCGACCGCGCCTCCAAGTTAGCAAGTAATTCTACTAGATCTAGAACCTAGATCGATAAATCCCATGTATTCTCGAATTAGATGTTCATTGAAGCTAAACAAAGATTTATATAAATAATAAAGGCCTGAAATAGATTCTAGATCTAGAATTTACGTCTTGTGACCTAGATTTAGATCTAAATCTAGAATTCTAGATTCATTCATAACTTTTTCTTCCTTTCACAGCTGATCTGTAGATTTAGAGAAATGTATTGTATAATAAAATAAAAAGAAGTGTTAAAACTTTGATAATAGTGTTGAAATGTAATAAATACAGCAAACGGACATATTGTTAAAGTTATAGCCGGCAGAAAATTAGCTTTATAACGCGTTAAACTTTTAAATGGGCCGAAAAGTCGATGATGGAAGCCGCCATCTTATTGTACTAAAAAGTAAACATTTCATGTGACATCACTATTCAGTCAAAGTTAAGCCATTGTTCTAAAACTTTAAAATTAATGTGTTTAATCTACCTATGAATAAATCAATAATTTAATTAACGTCTTTAAATAAATTTGTGATTAACAGTCTATCTGAAAACAAAAATTGTTCTCTACCTACATACTATTTTACAGTTCTGCATATAGCGTAGATCCTCTACAGTAGTCAATCAGACAAACAAATAAATATTCAAACACGTAAACAAAGTTAAGTTTTAGTAGTATACTAGACTACCCGTCATCCCTTGAATAACTGTGGGTTTCGGGGGGTCATCCATAAAAAAAACATCACGTCTGTCACTTATCGTCACAAAAAAACCAGACCCCACATTCAAAAAGATGTTTTTTATCTTTTAAAAACACCAAAAAAACACCGATTTCGGACTATCCCTTCATATACTGACGTCACATGTGACCTACTCAACTCTACTTCACCTGCTCAGTGTCCCGCCAAGTCTCAGACAACATGTTTTTATCGTTTAAAAAACCGATTCCAGCCGAGCACGTCTCTGACCACACTATTCCTTCATATGCTTAGGACAAAAAAACAGATAAACTCTACTTCACCTGCCCTGTATCCCACCAAGTTCAGATAGGCAACTTTATCATTCACATCTCAAAAATTAAAAAAAAAATGAAATTATTATTTTTAACATTGACCGTGCCACCCGCATAAAAGCCGATTACACTAACAACTTAGCTATTTAACTCGTGCATCATTGATGTTTTTTATAGTATACATTAATACTCTAAGTCTCCTTATGCAACTTGATTTACGCGCATAGATCTAGATCTAAGTTTAGTAGTAGTAACTTTCAAATTACATTTTATCTTAAATTAGCCAATTACATAGCTAAACAAACAAAGATTTATATAAAATAATGAAGGTCTGAAATTATCTAGATCTAGATAAAATTATCTAAATCTAGATTCTATGACTCGTTTGCTTATTAAGTCTTAAGTCTAATTTTTGCGTAACTCTTGCTAGATCTAGATCTAATAATAAGACTTATTCTAGCTAGATAGATCTAGATCTAGATAGATAAATCACAAAGATTTATATCAAGTATTTAAGGACTAAAAATGTAAAATGATCATAAAATGGATTGTATTTGTATCTGATAAATCTTTGGTTTATATCTAATTAATCTTTGGCTTGACCTAGCTTCTAGATCTAGATCTATAAATAACTTTCTTGGCCACCTGATATTTAGATCTATAAATAAATAGATAATTGTCTTGGACAGATTGTAGAGCTAGAGAACTTTTTGTAAAACTAAATGAAAAAGACAGTTGGAAATTTATATAAGTGTTGGAACGTAATAAAAAGAGCAAATAGACCTATTGTTAAAGTTATGGCCGACAAAAAACTTTTCGAATGGGCCACAAAGTCTATGATGGAAATTGCCATTTTATTGTAATAAAAAGTAAACAAAACATGTGACGTCACTATTCAGTCAAGGTAAAGCCATTGTTTAAAAAAATTAAAATTAATGTGGTTAATCTACCAATGAATAAATCAATAAATTAATTAACGTCTTTAAATAAATTTGTGATTAACAGTCTGTCTGAAAACAAAAATTGTTCTCTGTCTACATACTATTTTACAGGTCTATACATATGGCAGATTATCTCCAGTAGTAAATCAGACAAACAAATAAATATTCAAACATGTAAACAAAGTTGAGTTTTAGTAGTATAGAGATAGATAGATGCACTAAAAAGAAGAAAATCATATTATACACTATTATTTAAATTACTATAAAGAAAAGCAATGGTCTCTTCCTAAATATTAGTAAAGGTATCCAATAGATACTAAAGTGAACCACGCTTTTCTTTATAATTATTTAAATAGTATAGTGTAATTTATTTTCTCCTTTTTAGTGCATTATTAAATAAAAGCTTATTATTAAAACGTTTTTTATGAATTTTTTTTAAGTTTAAGTATTTAAAATGGATTAAAAATTATGTCTATATCCCGAGTTGCCTTCCCCTGTTTTTTTATATCAGAATATTCGAGAAAGTTTAGGGGAGATCACTCCCGGTTTATTTTTTACGTTGCTGACTCCCAAGGAGTTGATATAAAATTTTGCATAACACCATCTTTCTGTTATTTAAATTACAGTAAACCCCACCCCCACCCCCCCACCTTCAACCCCCCACCCAATGTGTGTTAATTTTCATAATTACCAAGGTTAAAAATGTAAGGTTTAATTTTACTTTTTATTTACTTCAACACGCACTTATCATTTTATTTTATGATCAGGTTAGAAAATGTAACAATATTTCTCTCTATAACCAGTCGATGTGACGTCAGGCCAGTGGCCATCTATACGTGGGACGGCTATAACTGTGGAGGAAATCAGAGAAAAATATCAGAGGTTTGGACTTAAACTATAACCTCTGACTAAATGACATTTGTAAAAAGGGACTCAACAATATCGCTATATTCAGTTTACCTTTGTGAAGTAAGGGATCACCAACTGGAATTATTTTTCTATGAATTGACGGGGGGGGGGAGATGGGGGAGAGACTTGTCGTTTTCGGGTTTTCGTATAATTGTATAGTTTATAATTTATATTTTAACGATAATGGAGCCCTTTATCTTTTTCTATAGCAGTTAAAATATTTTTTTTGCGCCAAGGCTCTATTATCGTGTAAGCAGGCTACCCCCCCCCCCCCGTTATGTTTGGGTTTTATAAAAAGCAACAACGATTGTAGAAACTGTTCAATACTTAACACATTTTTTTAATGGTCCTCATTTTTACACATCACACAGCCGCCCTCGTCCCTAGCCGCTACTAGCTAAAGCCCCTTACAATCGTTCTTTCAAGCTTTCATACCCGCACTCGACCTTATGATAACAATACCTAAACAAGCAAATAGCAATGTAAACATAAAGTGATATTTCAACGCCAAGGGTAGACAAAGGTACAGAATATAGTCCAAGTAAAGACAGAACAGACAGACCCGACGGGTTCCGAACCTACCATTCCACACGGCACCAAATCGCCTAGCCTTCCATGCATCAAGTCAGACGTGTAACCACTTCTACCCCTCACCACGTTAACCTAAACAAGCGGTGGTTAACTCAACTCACACACACATTTCCCCTACGTTCTGGACTATTCTAGCCTATTCTAATTTAAACTACAACTGACCCCCTGAGCGTAGCGACCATTCCCGGCGCCCGGGGACAAACTTTCAATTTGGCGCATCCCCCTATATATGTTTTTTATATTTATAATTGAAAACTGCAGCTAAACTGCGCTTTTAATTATTTTCCAACTAATTTTGGCGCCCGTAAGGTCGGCGCCCGGGGACATATGTATCCTCCCCCCCCCCCCCCCCCCGTCGACACGCCTCTGCCCGTAACATCACCTTCACTTCTTGAACTAACCCAGAATTAGCAATGCACACAATTTAGACAGAGAAAGATATTTTAAAGAAGGCAACAACCAATTACACTTCATTTGACATTCATTTGAATAGTAAACAAAGTATTGTCAAAACCACTGCAGTAATGAATATAGTTACAACGAGTAGGAAAATATTTACTTTGTCGCAACCGAGTAATTACGGCGATAGCATAGAAATGCCATCATGCCATAAACGCAGGTTTGAATAATCTTCGTGCCACCGGCAACCATTCCACCTCTCCCAATTTGAAAAACAAATATCTTCAGATATCAATGAAGACGACAGCACGCTGATAAAATAACTAGACGTTACTCTGGTTTACCCACCCCACCCATGGCTCTCATTGATAGATAAGTGGTTTTTCCCACAGTGTTTGTGTTTAATGGTATTATAGATACAGGGGCGGAACTACAGTGCCGCCAGACCCCGCAATGCGGGGGGGGGGGGGGGCACGCCATTTAGGGGCCCAGAGCCGACCATAATAATTTTTTTTATAGTTAAAAAAAAGTAAATTTTCTTTCATTTTTGACTTGATGGTTGTTTTGTAAAAAATTACCGTAGCTGCGGTTGGATTATCTTTATCCTATAGACACCACCCCACGCTCGTGTTTCTTCTTTTTCCCTTTGTTTTTAAACAACTTTGAAAGCCGAGTCTTTCTCCTACAATTAAACTTATCAAAGATAAGCAAATGTTCAAACCACTTCCATGACTTATTTCCTTTTTAAAAAAATAGTCAAATAGGGGTGAGCATAAGCTCCTTTTAATAGATTTGTACTAAACAAATTATATTAAATCAATAATATTTTAAACAATAATAATATAACTACAAGAAAAAACATAAAAATAAACATAACACGAGACACCATTACTTATACAAAGCTTTCATATTTTATATTATTTTGACCGACAGGATGATAACAGGGCTTCTATCAAAAATTAATTCAAACTGATTTTCACAAAACACGCTAATGCACTTACACACATTACATGATGTTGACATTTTTTTTTATTGATGTTTTTCAAATCCCGAACAGGACAGCAATGAGTATCCTATGTTCGTATTATGTGATTGCATATATATATATATATATATATATATATATATATATATATATATATATATATATATATATATATATATATATATATATATATATATATATATGGGGGGCCTAAACAAATTTTTTTTGCGGGGTGGCCCTTTTTTTCTAGTTCCGCCACTGTATAGATAAGTGGTTTTTCCCACAGTGTTTGTGTTTAATGGTATTATAGATAAGTGGTTTTTCCCCACAGTGTTTGTGTTTGATGGTATGATAGATAAGTGGTTTTTCCACACAGTGTTTGTGTTTAATGGTATGCCTAGCCTTGTTAATTTAACGTTTTCTGTTAAATACCAGTTGTAGTCACCTGCAGAATATTTTTATTCACTTTATTTGCTCAGTCTACATAGGTGTCTGTCAAAATACTGGTCCTGTTAGTTTGGTGTGTGACAGTTGTAGTGTGACAGTTGTAGTGTGACAGTTGTGTGTGACAGTTTTGTGTGACAGTTTTGTGTGACAGTTTTGTGTGACAGTTTTGTGTGACAGTTTTGTGTGACAGTTTTGTGTGACAGTTTAGTGTGACAGTTTTGTGTGACAGTTGTGTGTGACAGTTGTGTGTGACAGTTGTGTGTGACAGTTGTGTGTGACAGTTGTGTGTGACAGTTGTGTGTGACAGTTTTGTGTGACAGTTTTGTGTGACAGTTTTGTGTGACAGTTTTGTGTGACAGTTGTGTGTGACAGTTGTGTGTGACAGTTGTGTGTGACAGTTGTGTGTGACAGTTGTGTGTGACAGTTGTGTGTAAAAGTTGTAGTGTGCGGGCGTGAACTGACGAACTTTATCAGGGAGTCGGACTTTTTCACTAGAGACACTTGCACGAATGCCGTTTGCCGGTAGGACATTTTCCAAAATTGTCACCTGCCCGAATGCGACAAATATCCAAATGGACACTTGCACGAATGCGACAAATATCCAAATGGACACTTGCCCGAATGCGACAAATGTCCAAATGGACACTTGCACGAATGCGACAGTTAAAAGAATGTGTCTTTCGGGGATTTGTCGTCAATCCCTTAATTCCCCCGACTTACTCCCCCACCCTCACATGACTCATTGCAAATTTGTCTGCCACGTCTTTCTTTTAAAAATATTCCTATAACTCCACACGATCTAAAAACTTAACAAAACCTGACAACCATAATAACCAGGTGCAAGAGTGAGTCAATTAAAAAAACTTAACAAAACTTGACAACCATGTCAACCACGTGCAGGAGTGAGTCGATTAAAAAACTTAACAAAACTTGACAACCATGTTAACCACGTGCACGAGTGAGTCGGTTAAAAAAACTTAACAAAACTTGACAACCATGTCAATCAGGTGCACGAGTGAGTCGATTAAAAAACTTAACAAAACCTGACAACCATGTTAACCACGTGCACGAGTGAGTCGATTAAAAAAACTTTACAAAACCTGACAACCGTGTTAAACAGGTGCACGAGTGAGTCAATTAAAAAACTTAACAAAACCTGACAACCATGTTAACCACGTGCACGAGTGAGTCGATTAAAAAAACTTTACAAAACCTGACAACCATGTTAACAGGTGCACGAGTGAGTCGGTTAAAAAACGCCCAGCGTGTCTAGACGTCCACCAAAACCCTCATCACTACTGGCGACCTACGGCCCTCACACGAGACGAGAATATTCGACGGCTGAACCTGGCATCTGAGTAAGTAACCAGCTCACATATACAACAATCTGAGTAAGTTTAATCAGCCCACATCTATATATATAATTCTCTTCTGGGAGACGCTAGAAAACAAGCTGTAAACGCGCTCCTTACCATCCCCACCCCTACATGGTCTTAGTGAGCTGTGGTTCACGCTATGTTTACCTTCGTGGAGTCGGGTTTAGTGACGGCTATTAGGGGCAGATAATTTAGTTTGAAACGATTTTAAACGTGGGGGGGGGGGGGGAAGGAGGGGGGGGGGGTTATGGTCTTTAACGAGCTACTTATAGTGTTTTAAAGAAATATTTTCAGTGTCAGCGTTGGTACTGTCGAATTCACAAATTATGAATTACTGAATAGTAGAAAAAACAACAACTAAATAGCGGCGTATGTTATGCCACGGGCCGGCTCGTATATAATAATCTGAGTAAATTTAATCAGCCCACATATATAATAATCTGAGTGAGTTTAATCAGTCCACATCTATCTATATATATATAATTCTCTTCTGGGAGCCGTTAGAAAACAAGCTGCAAGCGCCTCCTTGCAGTCCCCTCTCTTTCTCTCTTTCACTATCACTACCACCCCCACCCCACCCCCACATTATCTGGTGAGCTGTGGTCACGCTAAATGTTTACAAATCTAAATGTTTACAAATCGTAGAGCCGTAGAGCAACGTTTCTATTAGGGGGAGATAATTTAGTTCGATTTTAAACTTACAGGAGGTAACTAAGAAATAACTAAGAGGAGGCTGCTTTCACGGGGGGGGGGGGGGGGGGGGTGTAGGGTCGGGATTAGGGGAAAGGGGGGGGGGGGGGGGTTAGTGTTTTAAAGCAAATATTTTCAGTGGCAGCATTGGCACTGTCGAATTCACAAATTATGAATTACTGAAAAGTAGAAAATAAAACAACTAAATAGCGGCGTAAGATACGCTGCGGGTCGGCTCGTATATAATAATCTGAGTAAGTTTAATCAGCCTACATATATAATAATCTGAGTAAGTTTAATTAGCTAACATACAATAATCGTACACATAATCTGAGTAAGTAAACAGCTAACATAAACGAAAATCTGAGTAAGTAACCAGCTCATAAATATAAAAATCTGAGTAAGTAACCAGCCCACATATACAATAATCTAAGTAACCAGCTCACATATAAAATAATCTGAGTAAGTTGAACTAGCTTATATTTAATAATCTGAGTGAGTTTAACCAACTAACATATACAATAATCGAAGGCTGAACATTTAATCAGAATAAGTTTACCTCGCTGTCGAAGACCTACCGATGTTTTTTCCATTTCTTCACACAACGTACACAAAACGAGACATTCCTTAATACGACAATGGGTGACTTTTAAATTCTAGAGAAAATAATTTGTTACATTTGTATACAAAGCCACGTTCGTTCTTAAGGAAATCATGAAAACTTATGAAACTCAGCTCGGCAATTATCTCCAACCAAAAAAAAATACAAAGTAAAATTTAAGGAATTCGTGTTACACCTTCTGTGTTTCAACCTTAGACCAATTAAAAGAAAAACCTATCCTCGCTTCTTCTGTTGGAATGCTAACTCTAGGTATTGTAGTGACAGATGAATTTTACTAAGTACATTATAAATCAATGCCATAAGTTTAGTCTTATAATTGTGACATCGATGCCGATACATTTGCCACTAATTGTGACGTCGATGAAAAATAATTGCCTTTTGATGACAACAGTTTGACTATAAATTTGTAAATAGATAGTTGAAAATTGACACTAATCAAAATTTGTTTCTATAGTAATTAGCTAAGTCACTTAATTAGCTTTATGTCTCCAAAACGATTTGTCTTTTATTGAACAAGATTCACATAGAGATTTCGATACTGATCTTAAACGTTTCATTGTTTGCCATTATGTAACTTTCTACCTTACAGATGCTGTGCCTTCAACCACAAGGAGCTGATGATGCCAGCCCCCCACCCCCAGCTCTACCCCTGGGAGAAAGACTTCCTGTCCCACCCACCTCTACGGGATATCAGAGACATCGCGTCAGCGGACAACTCCAAAGTGGTTTTAGTCAATGACTCCAGCACGTTCAGACTAGGGGACATCATCAACATTCAAGTGGTGCTGTTTAATGGGAGAGGGGAGAGAATTACAATAGGTAATGTCACATTTAATGAGTTGTTCAATGGGAGAGGGGAGAGAATTACAATAGGTAATGTCATATTTACTGGGTTGTTCAATGGGAGAGGGGAGAGAATTACAATAGGTAATGTCATATTTACTGGGTTGTTCAATGGGAGAGGGGAGAGAATTACAATAGGTAATCTCAAATTTACTGACAATAGGTAATGTCATATTTACTGAGCTGTTCCATGGGAGAGGGGAGAGAATTACCATAGCTAACGAGGGACTACTTATCGCAGCATCTACAATGAATGCAATCATCATCGACGTACTTTCCCGTTTGTGTCCAAAAAACGGGCGGCAGCTGAAGAAGAGTTAACCAGTTTCAATAACTTTGTCAATAACTTTGACACATAGGTTGATAGTGCTGTCAGCACTATGCTCAGCCGCCTTAGTTTCCCTAACGTGAGTCAGGTACCCATCAGATCAGGATAGAATCAGAGACGTTCTACTGGTTAGATCTGAACTTGAGACTTTCGGGTTAGCAATCGATAGCACACTGATAATCCAACCTAACCACTGAACCATGACGGTCTCCCCAGGTGGGACCAGCGTCAGGGTGTGGCTGGTCACTGCTTAGACACCCAGACAGTAATACAAACATGAGACACACCTGTATGTGCAGGTGTGCAATGATCCAACCTTGACCTCCCCAGGTGGGACCAGCGTCAGGGTGTGGCTGGTCACTGCTTAGACACACAGACAGTAAGACAAACATGAGACACACCTTTACGTGCAGGTGTGCAATGATCCAACCTTGACCTCCCCAGGTGGGACCAGCGTCAGGGTGTGGCTAGTCACTGACTCCCTTAAAGCCGCCATCGCTGCTGACGTCACGGATAATTTAGACGGGACGTATCTGGCGTCTTGTCCGTTACCATGGAGTGGGTCAGTGAAGGTCAAGGCAGCTATAGCCCATCACAGAGAACTCTTTCGGACCAATTTATATTTTAAGGTATTTGATAGTCCCTTGTTTATAAACTATACAAATTGTGCGTAAACATCTTTTTGTTGGTTTAATCCACGCACAGCGCAGTGCATGGTGTGTATCTAACACCTCTAGAACAGAAGAACGACCAGGACTTAAGTCTTGTATTCTACACATTTTCTTATGAAGAGTTTAGCTATAAGCGAGTCACGGAAAGGACATAACTCCAGGTCTTTTGCTTTGGAGCACATTTTATTTTTTCAAAAGTTTTTCTTCTGGTTTCGTGATTACGGCGACGTAATTTTTCGATAACATATTATTGAAAGCCACTCTTGAAGATATTTCACGCACCTTGTTAAATAAAGCACTTCAATAGTCCTTTATTGCTTAATTTTTTTCCAACAGCGTATCCGACGTATATATATATATATATATATATGTATATATATATATATATATATATATATATATATATATATATATATATATATATATATATATATATATATATATATATATATATATATATATATATATATATATATATATATATATATATATATATATATATATATATATTGACACATTTAGACACGAATCAACCATTTTTGCCAAATTTAACATCACTCAACCTGACCCCTACCCCCCGACTCCCCCTCACACCCGCCCCACTCCTCTCTCAGATATTATTCACCACAACCCAATGGCTTCTCGCCACTTTTAGCAACAGTTCAAGGTCAGAGGTCACGCCATGCTCAGCCGTCCCTAAACTACCCGGATACAACGTCACTGACATCTGTAACCTTACAGAGGTCAACCAGTTCCCGTGGTATTGTGGGAAACCACGTGATCTAAAGGTGAGCTGTGTCTAATAAATCTAATTTTAAATTAATACTATTCATCACTATGACTAAAGATATCTATTACTCTGTCAGTAGAATATTATTATCACTCTATCCGTTGTATTATTGTACAGAATTTTAAAGTTTATCCTGAGTTGTTTACTTCCTTAGTGCGCTGACTGGGCCAGTGTGAGAAAGGTAGATAACCTAGCCAATTACCCTATGACACAAGCAGAGGAAGAGTTAGTACTCCTTACAGAGAGGTTTGTTTTAATAAAGCAGGGGCCTCCAAACTTTTCAGTCCGCGGGCCGCATTAACTATCAAATTTCCGTTCAAGGAATGTCTTTAATTTTTCTGGACAAAGTTCCTCCGCCATCACCAACAAACGATTTTTGCGTGGATTAAAAGATCTCCGCGGGCCGGGTGAGAGGATATCCGGCCCGCGGGCCGTAGTTTGGAGACCCCTGACACAAAGCAAGGCTAGAGTTGATTCAAACAAAGAGTCTTTTATTGGAAGCGGAGAAGCTGTTTATGTTGAAATGTATAGAACATGAGCTGGCTAAATAGATAGGCAGTATTTTGAAATAATTTATTAACTGAAGAGCATACAACAGGAAATCTTGAGTTCGAATCCTAGACCGTATTAGTAGAACTAAATGCGGCTGGGAATAGTGCCGACCACACTATACCTTCATATGCCGTGGTCACGGAAATAGTGGAACTCTACTTCACTTGCTCCAGTGACCGCCAGGTTCGAAAGGAAACTTTAACTTCAAAAATAAGGGAAAAACAACTTTAAAAAGAAGTTATGACTCCGAACTATTGTAGGCATGTGCATTATCAATTATTGGGCAAAGTCTAAAAATTTTTTAGGTTATTCGTTTGTGTAATTCATTTAACTTATGTATAACTTAAGTGATTTTCACTAGATATTATATATAGCAATCACAAAAAGCTTCTCTCGCGGTTAAACTATTCAAAATCTATGTTTCTTAGTCAACATTTCACAAATATTATATACATATTTATTTATATTTTTCTTTAACTAAGTTAAACTTTTATTCTAACAACTGTCCCTAACCCCTAATAGCAAACGGCCCTTCATGATACCATCGAACATAACTCTCCACGTTTTACAAGGTAAGAGACTGGTTGATATAGGTTTAACTTATATAGGTAAGTGATTGGTTGATACAAGTTTAATTTATACAGGTAAGCGACTGGTGGATATAGGTTTAACTTATTCAGGTAAGTGATTGGTTGATACAGGTTTAACTTATACAGGTAAGTGACTGTTTGATACAGGTTTAACTTATACAGGTAAGCGACTAGTTGATACAGGTTTAACTTATACAGGTAAGCAACTAGTTGATACAGGTTAAACTTATACACGGTAGTACATGCGGGCTTGGAAAAACTGTAAAAAGTTGAAGAAAACTATAAAACAAGTTAATAAAAAGTCTAGTGACAATTTAAGCGCAATTTCCTTAATTAATTTTTTGTGACCAAACGAAAGGATATTTTTGAAAACTTTCTTCGGCCGTATTGTTTTAAATTATGGCAGGAATCGATTGGTAAATGTTTCATGTCGCTAAGTTGTCTGGTTGCCGAGATATGGGCCAAAAACTGCATTTTTTTCGAGGTTTTTTGGCTTTTCCGGGAAATCCAGGAAGGAATTCCGGGAATTTTTTTGGCCCACAATCATCCTCGGAACTTGCTTCGTTGCGGAGGAGATACGACTTAAAGCTGCGGATACACATCCATCCAGAAATAACGAATTAAAAATCGCAATTGTTAGTATGGAAATTGCGCTAAAAAACTAGAATATTAATAAGCTTTAAACGCAAAAAAATATTGATTTTTTTTAATAAACGCATTGGACGCCAAATTTTCCCACTCCCCGTTCTTCAAAAGGTCTACACCTTACACTTATGTTTCACATACATAAATGATAAATTTGTGCCCACTAGGTCTATACCTTGTACTTATGTTCCACAGACATAAATGATGAACTTTTGCCAACTAGGTCTTTACCTTGTACTTATGGGGATATGCGCGGAAAAAAATCACAAAATTTCTTGTTTTTCGTCATGATGGGTTTCTTGCACTTTTGGATACTTTGTCCATTTTTGTATAAAGAAAATAATAACTTTGAAGAGAAAAAAATATTTTATGTGTTTTAATTACGATTTTTATGACCCTATTAATTAAAAAATAATCAATTTTTCCCAGTCTTACAAGCTCTCTATAAAAAGTTTTATATCCGTCATTATATTGTATTTGACATCATTGGAAAGCTGGATTTCTCATGTATCTAATAAACTTAATTTCTTACATCTCGGAAACACCCAAAGCTTACAATCAGCTTTGCAGTTTACACAGATATGGTACTTTCCTGACCTAGTTTTCGTTACTTTTGGCTGTTTTTCTCAGTTCGCAGGTTTTTAACACTAAAAAGCCTACTACTTTTTTATTTATTAAACAATGCAAACCATATTTTCAGTAAATGTTTTTGATGCAAAAATACAACTTTTGTCACGAGGGAATTGTGATTGCTTTCATAGAAAAAAAGTATTTGGTAATTAATATGCACATTTTGAAACTTTTGAATACTAAAAAGGGTACGATTTTTTAGACCTTGTAAAATTCTTTCTAGTAATTATTTCAAAAAGTTGTCGTGACAAAAGTTTTAATATATACTGAAATATAAGCAGTTTAAATTTGATTGCTATAGGTGCATAAATAAAAAAGCCTTAGTATTTTTAAAAGTACTGAAAAATTCAAAATGGCGGAGGTTTTTTGTGTTTCCATGACAACCAAAATTGTTTTCGACCATCTTTTTTGCTGTTTAGTACTTACTTTTATATGCCAAATATGATAAAAGTATTCAAAAGGCTTTAGATCTTAAAGTGTAAAAAATAGAAAAAAACATAGCATATCCCCTTATGTTCCCATAGACAAAAATGATAAACATGTGCCGACTAGGTGTATACTTATGTTCCCATAGACAAAAATGATAAACTTGTGCCGACTAGGTCTATTCTTATGTTCCACAGACAAAAATGATAAACTTGTGCCGACTAGGTCTATTCTTATGTTCCACAGACAAAAATGATAAACTTGTGCCGACTAGGTCTATTCTTATGTTCCACAGACAAAAATGATAAACTTGCGCCGACTAGGTCTATTCTTATGTTCCACAGACAAAAATGATAAACTTGTGCCGACTAGGTCTATACTTATGTTCCACAGACAAAAATGATAAACTTGTGCCGACTAGGTCTATACTTATGTTCCACAGACAAAAATGATAAACTTGTGCCGACTAGGTCTATACTTATGTTCCACAGACAAAAATGATAAACTTGTGCCGACTAGGTCTATACTTATGTTCCGCAGACAAAAATGATAAACTTGTGCCGACTAGGTCTATACTTATGTTCCACAGACAAAAATGATAAACTTGTGCCGACTAGGTCTATACTTATGTTCCACAGACAAAAATGATAAACTTGTGCCGACTAGGTCTATACTTATGTTCCACAGACAAAAATGATAAACTTGTGCCAACTAGGTCTATACTTATGTTCCACAGACAAAAATGATAAACTTGTGCCAACTAGGTCTATACTTATGTTCCACAGACAAAAATGATAAACTTGTGCCAACTAGGTCTATACTTATGTTCCACAGACAAAAATGATAAACTTGTGCCAACTAGGTCTATACTTATGTTCCACAGACAAAAATGATAAACTTGTGCCAACTAGGTCTATACTTATGTTCCACAGACAAAAATGATAAACTTG